CTGATGACGCAGGCTCAAGAACGTGAGTGTACGTGTGGCATTTGAAACTTTGAACAGCAGACAATTTACTGTCTACATGTGCTTTACGCTATCCAATATTGGCACCCTAAATCAGAGTATCAAAGGCTGCTACAGTTGCTAACCGACATTCAAGTACAAGGAAAGGAAAGTTCAAAGAAGGTCGCATCTTATCTCAAGAATGCCATCAAGGAATGCTTATTTCCTTCAGGCGTCAGTTCACAAGTGATTCATCTACTGTTTGCAACAAGACGCTATTCCTTTGCTAAGTAATACGATTTTACATAGCATTTGATGTGCCAATGTGGCACAATTTTTTGTACACCCACCACCGTGTTCTCTCAAATTCCAACCTTCAAAACTTATCAATGGCTCTTTCTCTAATCAGAACGACGTTTGCAAATTCTTTATTTTTTTCCCCGCGTAAGCAATGATTGACCTGATAAGCCTGACCATTTGGTAAGAATTACCGCCCGACCTCACGGGCCTAGCGTGCCTCGCGTTCTTTAGGTGGTCTTTGCTCTTATGTGAGCCTAGATATATAGTACATGTCAAAAACAATAGTTTGGAAGAAAATGCCAACTTCCGAAGTGATTTGGTGGCTCAAATATCACAGATAGCTATAACATTGGATGTTTACTATGATAATTCACACTCTTTGAAATTGATACCTCGCGTTCTTTTGTGGTCTTTGCTCTCGTGTGAGCCTAGATATATAGTAGATGTCAAAAACAATAGTTTGGAAGAAAATGCCAACTTCCGAAGTGATTTGGTGGCTCAAATATCACAGATAGCTATAACATTGGATGTTTACTATGATAATTCACACTCTTTGAAATTGATACCTCGCGTTCCGAATGTGGTCTTTGCTCTCATGTGAGCATAGATCTATTGTAGATGTCAAAAACAATAGTTTGGGAGAAAATGCCAACTTCCTAAGTGATTTGGTGGCTCAAATATCACAAATAGCTTTATAATAACAGTTGGATGTTTAACTATGACTCTTTGAAATTGAAAACCTCGCGTTCTTTATGTGGTCTTTGCTCTCATGTGAGCCTAGATATATAGTCGATGATATAGAAGATGTCAAAAACAATAGTTTGGAAGAAAATGCCAACTTCCTAAGTGATTTGGTGGCTCAAATATCACAGATAGCTTTATGATAACAGTTGGATGTTAACTATGACAATTTACACTTTTAATTGAAATTGATGCCTGATTTTTCTTTTGTTGTATATACGTACATGTGGTTGGTTTATCGCTGTGTCGTTATTCTACAACACGTATCGTTTCGCTATTGTCATGACTTCAAATATCAGAGTTATCAACCAAGATTTGAGGTATTCAAAAACTCGTATTTCCCCAGAACTATCGTAGACTGGAATTCGTTGCCACCAAGCACAGTTGGGGCATCATCACTAGAAAGCTTTAAACAACTCCTGCAATCAAATGTGCAAAGATTGAGTGTAACAAGTCGTTCGGTGTGATATAGCTAGCTGCCGCCGCGCCGCGTGCCTGCGAAACTGGTGTGTTACGCCGAAGGACGGTTATACCGGCTATATCGATACAGATACAGAAACAGGTAAAACATGCAAAACTTTGTCTTTTAGCTTACGGAGGGAATAACTTCTTCCACAAATGGCCACAATCAATATTGGTGCAAACTAGTCCCATTGTTTTCTTCCCATCAGCGAATTTGTGTATTTTAGTGATTGGCAACATTGATGGTTATCTCCGTTTTTCTCCGTCCTCAGCAATTTCACTTTACACACCCCTTTGCCCCCCCTCCCCTTAAAAAGTTTGGACCTGCATTAGCTGAAAATATTTGAAAGTATTTGTGCCATTGTGTTCTATTTATGTAAATCCAGTGGATTTTTATCAAACCGTCTTCATCCCACTATAGGACATTTTCTAGCCTGGATGCCAGACTGTTTCCAGGGCCTACACAAGCGCTAGCCAGCTCCTCAGCTCCAGGGCTCCCTCCAGGGCCAACATGTACATGCCCCAAGGAAAATATACCACAGAGTTATACTCTTATTGTAGGCACTATTTGTAAAGGGGTCACTGTGGTTAAGTTTCCTTGGGCGCATGCTGGTCCTAGAGCCGAAGAGCTGGCCTGTGAGGCCCGGGGAACAGTCTGGTACCCAGGCTAGCCGTTTTCTCGATCACAGGAATGTTTTAATCAGGCACGTGTCAGTCTCAATCCCCTGTATAAAAGTTGGAGTCCTCTCCTTTTTCCATTTGGGCCACAGAACGGAAATTCGTTCCAGAAGCCCTAAATCCACAGTTAACTGATAGGGCGTCTGCACAAACAAATCAGATACAGTGATTCCTGGGGAGAAAACAGATTGTGCAGTTTGTTTAGCTGTGTGTAACAACTTACTAACAAGCAGCTGTAAAGGTCGGTCGGTTGGCTGGCTGGCTGGCTGGCTGGCTGGCTGGCTGGCTGGCTGGCTGGTTGGTTGGTTGGTTGGCTGGTTGGTTGGTTTCGGTCTCCAGACATTCTAACTAACTAGAATGGATCTGAGCCCGAAGTTCGTCAAGAAGTTGGCTTCCTCCAAGTAGAAGAGTTAGCGAAGTCCACATCAGAATCACGAGAAACTCAGACATGTTCAAAACTAGAACTTCGGTAGAACCAGCCGATACAGACTCGCCCGTTCCGTACTCTGTCTGGCTCCTTCATGTGCAAATTCATATATATGCAAAACTGACGACTTGATTCGAACACTGAGCACCTGTTTTTTAAATATTTATTGCCGGCCTTTGATTGTTCTTGAATTTTGATTGTAGTTGAGAGTAGTAACGAATTTTGACCTGTTCATCAGGGTTTCGTATTTATTCTATGTTTGTAGATTACATTTAAAGTAGTTTTATACTTGCATTACCAGTTAGCCTTCAAAACCGTTACTGTTGATTGGAATGATGAAGTGTGCAATTCAGACGATAGGCACTGGGGTTTTATAAAGACGTCGTATCTTATCTGCTGTAAGATTTAAGAAAGTAGGTCAAGACACCGCCAAGGCAAGCATGCCGCCTCAGACCCTCAGTCTCACCCTGACCTCGCACCGGTACTTCTGATGTCTCAATCTGATGACTCACTCAGACTTAGATAAAGAAAACTGGAGCAAGGATGGCAAAGTCGTCTTTACTTTATAAGAAATCTGTGGTTTCTGTCATCTCTTAGGTATCGGGTCATGGTACAACTTTCTAAATATCTTAGGATCAAATCAGGCCATGTTGATTTGATTATATGGATGACATCCGCGCGCGCATGGATTTTCGGCCGTTTCCACAAAAAAAAAGTTTTCAACCATACTGTAAATCGTACAAAACAGTTGCAAAATGAGCAAATATATACCGTAAGTTACAAAAAAAATAAATAAAAACTATTCCAATGTCGTAGAATGCCAAAATCAAACGAAAAAAGACGAAATTGTAAAGAAATGAATTTGAAGAGTAGATTATTCGCTAAACCATATTCTGTGCCATTTGTTCAACCTTCGTGACCACGTAGATTTCATAATAAAAACAACTTTTTTTTTTGCAAAACTTTTTTTTTATTCGCACGCGCGCATCAATTTTTGGGCTCCCAGAGGATGTCATCCATATAATCAAATCAACATGGCCTAAGAAGATAAAGATATTATGAGGCACCTGTAAATCATTAGAATCACTGTCATACCTTCACGGCCTTGTCCCGACCCTGCCCCGACCCTGCCCCCGAACACCAGCCGACCACGTTCGGCCCATGTTCGGGAGCAGTCTGACCAGATTTAGACCACGCCAACATTATTAAACGAATTTGAGTTAAATTTTAGGCAAAGTTGACCCCCGAACATTCCCATAAAACTGTTGGCTTAATGGTTGGCTGGTGTTCTGCTAACATACAGCCGAACACTAGCTAACATGTCTGAACATCTTCTGCAACCTACCTGCGTCCAGTGAAGTGTTTAGGGCTTGAAATCCCGATTTTTCAAAGCCAATATTCTAGTCATTTATCCACATAGTGAGTTGAAACCACACTGTCCGAATGTATAGTACCCTGGAAGCCAAAACTCGTTTTCCGGGCCGCAAGAGCCCTTCGCCCGCTGGTGCGGGGGAGTCTAGCCCGGGGAAGTTTGGCTGGCCCTACAGGGCCGAAACCTCCCCACGTGCTCCATTCCACCGCAGCGGTAATTTAGGTCTGCGGGCGAAGGGCTTCTGGCTGCCGAAGGAAGCGGCTAGCGGCCCGTAAACATGGCTGGCACCCAGGGTAAATGTGTAGGAACCCTGCTCCATATTCCCAAACGTCTGACGGAAAATGGTTATTGGATTTGGAAGGGCCCTGTGCTAATTTTTAGGGTACCACCCAGAAAATAAGGGACTCATCTTGGGGTTTGTTTCTGCAGTTTTGAATGCCCAAAGTATGAAATACTGACTCAAATGTGCTAATGTGTAGCAGACTAGCAGTATGTGTCAATATTACAAATGTTGTCAGAATATTTCCAACTAACTCCAACTTTCCAACTATTGAACAATTATCATAAGACTGATCTATGTCAATTGCGGCAAAGGTTCATTTGTAATCTAAATAGGATAGAGGATGAGGAACACTTTGTATTAGAATGTAGTTTATACAACGAAGAGAGAGCCGAGCTTTATAAACTATTGCAATGTATGTTTCCCCATTTCATACATCTTAGCAACACAGATAAGTTCATATTTCGAATGGCTTTAGACAAACCTTCGATTATAAAACACATCTGTACTTATATCTACATCGTTACTAAGAAGCGAGAATTATCAAATTGACCAAATTATCGTAATTATTAGACTATATGTCCAGAGTACATAGAATAAGCACTAGCTTGTACATTGTATATATTCATTGCAAACTGACGTCTTTCCTGTAACCTGTACTGAACCCAGTGGGTATTTGCGTACAATAAAGGTCTCCACTGCTACTTTACTATTATTTGACATTTTCCATGTCTGTTTTTCAGGCTATGCCCACATGTAGCAGCACCTCGACATGTTCAAAGGACCAGTTCTGTCTCCGGGGGTCGTGTCAGGTAATGAAGACCAGCCGGCTGGTTATCAGGAGATAATAGTTATCTCTCTGGTTATCTCTTAGGCCGTGTTTAAGTGAAGTCAACCAAACCGCGATTCGGGTAACTCACATCTGGTCCACGTGCCACACACTCCTGTGAAACCGTGTCCGATCACAATTCGCTTGAGCTACATTTATTGCTGTTTGATGATAACACGCAAGGTGGCGTGTTATTAATGTCAGAGGTCAACGACCTGCTTGCGTGGTTTGGGATCGAGGCGCTTTCAATGTGATTTCGGAGCGTTCAGATGGAGCCACTTGAAACCGGCTTCGGGGTAAACCACATGTAAAGCGCCTTGGGTGACTTCACTTAAACACGGCCTTACTGAGACTCTTTTCAACTCAGCACGTCAGGTGTTGGAAAGACAGTTTTGTGAACCGTACTTGAAATTTTGTCTTGTTCCGTGTATTTTATGCACTAGGTGCATTATAGTAATTATTTTATTTACCGATGTTCATGTAGGTAGCCTGGTTACCCCAAACCTATTATAGCCAGTGTTGGACAAGTTTTCAAAAATCCACTTGCCCTATTGGGCAAGTACCTGGTCATTTCCACTTGCCCGAACCAACATTTCACTTGCCCAAAATATGAATTTTACCGTACTAACAGAAAAAAATTATTTTATTATAGAGTTTATAATGTTGGATACTTTATTTATCAAAATTGTTTGAAACTTGGACAAAACACTGGAGGGGCTATACTTTGCATCCAAAAAATTTACTTGCCCAATCGGGCAGGTACAGGGGGATATTCACTTGCCCCAACAGTACTTTTACTTGCCCTGGGCGAGTGGGCAATGGGACTTGTCCAACCCTGATAGCTCCCGACTCCTACATCCTCTCCGCAAATAGGAGAGGATGTAGGACTCGGGAGCTATAATAGGTTTGGTAAGCAGGCTAAATGTAGGTACATTTGATTTGCCATGAAAATGCCAATACAAATAAAGCTGAATCTGGTTCCAAATCTTCCATTACATACGGAGTCAACATTGGAAGCCTTAACTTTCAACTAAGATGCTAATTCGAAAGACCATACCTTTTCCTTTGCTGTTTTGCTTTTGCCTTAGTTGTGATGACTATGTCAATGGTATTTGGGTAGGTGCCGGGAAATCAAAGAACGGCTTACATATGTGGCCCCCTGCGGCCTGTTTTGGTACTGCAATCTCACTTTCGGTTTGATATCTCAACCTGCTTTAGTCATGATTTTTGGTTGGCATTTTTCCTATTTGTTTTTTTTTTTGTTTGTTGTTGTTGTATAAACTCACTTTAATCTAATGTTGACTCATAATTATTATATTAGTGCCAAGTATTGTCGACTAATTTAGCCTGGAGTTCAGCCTTGTTAGCTTTGGTCCGCTCCCCAAGATCCGCTACCCTGCCCGTTGGCTAACAAGGCTGGACTCCAGGCTACGACTAATTAACCTGATTCTATATAAGAGAGAAAGGGTTTCGCGAAACGGTTTTGCCATATGCTAATGATATGCTAATCTAACGTCTGCTCTCTTTCCCTCCCTCCCGGTGGTGACTAGACGGTGCCGTGTGACGAGGACCGGGACTGTCGGTACCTGGACATCGGAGTGGAGGCAACATGCGACACGACCACTCCGCAACAGGACCACAAGGGGCACTGTGTACACTCGGGCAGTAATGCTGTAGAGGCACCGAAGGTACCGAATCATTTAACCTTAATTAACCCTGTTTAAAGTTTAAACCTTTAATCCAACACAAAAAGTTCTCTCACCTAGAGCTTTCGACCAGTCACTCTGGTCTTCCTCAGTAGACTGACCCAGCGAGGCTTCTTTGAAGTGTGACGTCAACACTGGGTCAAAGGTACCTGGTAGAGGATGTCGGCCCCCGTCGCGGTTAAGTGACTGGTACCGGTGATGAGCCCTGATGTAATTAGCGTCTTTCAGGAAATAGTCTTCTTCAGTGTCCAATATTCTTACAGTGTCGAGTAAAACAAAATGTCCTTTGGACATTATTTTGTCACCTGGACATTTTGTTTCACTCGACACTGATGATAATTAGCGACATGAAGGGTAAGGTTGTAATGGGGTAATGATGAAGGTATTGGCGACAATAACCATGCTTATTTCTCATTCCAGATGGAACCAGCCCCTAGAACATCACAGCCGTATTATCCTCCCGGTGCCAACCCGTATCCGTCCCCATATCCATATCCGTCACCTTCCCCGTCGCCGTATCCATATCCGTCACCTTCCCCGTCGCCGTATCCATATCCGTCACCTTCCCCGTCGCCGTATCCATATCCGTCACCTTCCCCCTCGCCATATCCATATCCGTCCCCAGCACCAGCACCAGTGCCGTCCCCATATCCATATCCGTCACCAGCACCAGCACCAGCACCAGTGCCGTCCCCGTATCCATATCCGTCCCCCTCACCGTCCCCGTATCCATACCCGTCCCCGGCGCCGTCTCCAGTGCCGTATCCGTATCCGTCTCCAGCGCCGTCTCCAGTGCCGTATCCGTATCCGTCCCCTTCACCGTCGCCGTCCCCGTATCCGTATCCTTCGCCGTCTCCAGTGCCGTATCCGTATCCCTCCCCGGCACCGGCACCAGTGCCGTATCCGTATCCGTCCCCCTCGCCGTCACCAGTGCCGTATCCGTCGCCGTCACCAGTGCCGTATCCGTATCCATCCCCGTCACCAGCACCATCATCGGTAAGTACGGTTGTCTTATACTTCCTTCCCACATGATGTACCTGATACATCCTCATCGTAACTCTAAAGATTACCGCCAAAGTTTGGTTCTACTCAAAAATTAAGGGCACAGCATCACATTTTACCATCTCTCATCCATTGCCTCAGTGCTCACCCTATAGCCCGTGTCCGTTCGGAAGCACCTGTATTGGAGGGAGGTGTGTACCGCACGGTGGGCCAGTACCGATCGCCTCGGTAGCGGTGAGTTCTCACACTACAGAGATCAGCTAGCCAATACAGCAAACAGCTAGCCAACAGAACGATCAGCTACATGTAGCCAATACAAAAATCAGCTAACCAATGTATTTTCTTGGAAATGCATGGCTTCTCTGCTGAATGCTCTTCGATGCCAGTGGCAATGGGAGAACATCGCAACTCATGATGGCAATGCTTCGCTGGACACTCGTCACAATCGGTGGATAAAAAGTTTGCTCTGTTGCCTTCTTTCAGCTTTTGTTCTCGTCTTTACTTCAAGTGTACGCGCTCCGTTTGAAGAATGATAACGGAAGTCAGTTACCTTTACAGCGTTGGCTTTTTTATGATGCCTGCACAGTTGCACTTTCGTGAGAGTAAATTTTACCACCTCTCGCCCATAGCCTCAGTGCTCACCCTATAACCCGTGCCCCTTCGGAAGCACCTGTATTGGCGGGAGGTGTGTACCGCACGGCGGGCCAGTACCGTCTCCGTCCCCGTATCCGTCCCCCTGGCCGTCACCCGTGCCGTATCCGTTCCCGGCACCGGTAGCAGTGAGTTCTTACACTACAGCGATCTGCTATCCAATACAGCGATCTGCTATAGACAATTCAGAGACCAGCTAGCCAATACAGCAAACAGCTAGCCAATTACAACGACCTGCTAGCTAATACAGCGATCAGCTAGCCAATACAGCGATCTGTAAGCCAATAATAATGATCTGCTGGTAAATTCAGCGATCAGCTAGCCTATGTATTTTCTTGAAAAAGCATGCGGCTTCTCTGCTGAATACTCTTCAATGTCAGTGACAATGGGAGAACATCGAAGCTTCTGGCACTGCTTCCTACTGACAGTGGATGGAGAATAGCATTTGCTCTATCTGTTGCTTCATCAAGTACTGGGACGTGCTCCGTTTCATGAATTGTAACGGAACTCGGGGAAGTCAATTGCCTGTACAGTGTTGGCTTTTCTGTGATGCCTATTCTGCTTAAGCGAGAGTAATTCATGGCAATGCTTTCCACAGACAATCGGTGGGTAACAGCACTTGCTCTGTTCCCTCAAACTAGAAAAGAGCGATTGAATTTCGAAGTAGCAAGCGAAAAGGGAAATCCAGTGGTAACTACTGAGGGTGCTACCCAGTCTAGTGCTAAAATTGCTAACATTTTTATTTCCTTCAATCTGTTGCAGAGCCACACTGCCACGGTGTACTGTAGGACCAACGCTGAGTGTTCTTCGGTAGCCGGCACGTACTGCATCACCACTTGGCATACGGACAACGAGCAGCTCAAGTACGGTTTCTGCGGGACGGGCAGAAGTTCGCCAGTGTCGTACCCGTACCCTAACCCGGCCCCCGCACCACAACCGTCTCCTGTCCCGTACCCGTATCCAGCGCCGGCCCCGTACCCGTACCCGTCCCCGGTCCCTGCACCGGTACCAGCACCGGCCCCGTATCCATACCCGTATCCGTCTCCAGCGCCGGCACCGTCCCCGGTACCAGCACCATACCCGTATCCGTCCCCGTATCCAGCACCGTATCCGTACCCGTATCCGTCCCCGGTTCCATCACCTGTACCAGCGCCGGCACCTTCGGTAAGTACCCTCTGTAGTATCTGTGGTGTTGTCTCAGAATGAGGAGAGGACATCTCAGCCCAGTATGTACTGACTAACGCCAAACACAGTTATCCATTAACTACTGTAAATGCTATGTGTATCGGGTGATCTCCTAGGATTTTCCTACAGGCAAATGTTTTATGTACTATCAACGCTGCGCAAGATCCTATCTTTAAACACATCTGAAAGCATGCGTAAATGTACATGTAAGAAAAGAAACGAAACATTTACGCATTGTTTAAGGTATGCTTTAAGAATGGATTCTGTGTAGTGCAAACACAAGGTAAACACAAGGTAAATCTAACTATTCTTCCATTCCGCTCTTTGTCAATGGGAAATGTGTTTTCATCGTTTTTCTTAAGTTTTCAGAATGACTAAATTCGTTAAAAAACTAATGTACAGCACTATCAATATATATATATGTGTTTATCTTGTTTTCAGCGATGTTATAGTGATTCCGATTGCAGTTCAGGCATGTACTGCTCTACAGCAGATGGAGGGGTTTGTTACCCTATGCTGGCACCTATTTCAGTACCAGTCGCTTCTCCAGCTTCTAACCTTAACTCCCTGCTGGTAGGTCTGCTGGTACCATAGGTAGTCTCTACCAGACTAACTACGCTATATACAGGGAAATATTTCGTGCCAGGGGAGTTTGGCCGCCTTTGGAGGGAAAGAAACAACCTTCCGCGGCCGGACTCCCCTGGCCAATTTTACTCTCCTTTTGCCGAATTCTACGATCAGTATTTCCGTAGAAAGGCCTGGTGGAGACTATGTCATAGGCCATATAAATGCCTGAGAACAGAAACAAACGAACTTGTTGTGCTTCTCCCGACTGCTGAGTGATTCAGCTATGCTTGTAATCATGCATGTACCCCGGCATGACCCTTGCTGCAGACGCTATAGCTTGACCTACGGACGAACTACCGACGTTTCACTTCTTGTTTTTGTGGGGAATTTTTCGTCAGCTACTGCTTGGACACATTACGATTACAGCATTTGCATGGATTGTTCCCTAGGAAGAAACAAGTTTGATGTGGCATTTCCTGTACAATGTACAATGCCTAGTGCTGCATACCTAAACCCAATTTTAGGTTCAGGTCCGGATTCAAGTCCAGAGGTTTAGGTTCAGTACCGGACTTGTAAGTCCAGACATAAACCCATGGCATATACAATATTGCATGTTGGCAACCCTGCAATGTTGTCTGGGTGAAACTTTGGCCACATAACATGGAGGCCGGTACTTGACGATGCCCGATGGCAATGTTTTCTTCATTTTGCAGCAAAGATTTTGCAATGTACGGAAGGTTTTAGGTGGTTTGGAAAGAAAAGGGGTATGTGAAATGGTCTTTTATGGTAATAAGTCCGGTCTCGGTTCTTGACTTTTAGTGTTTTTTTTTTACTTGAACCTAAACATTCTTACAAGTCCGGATCCAAGTCCAGTGAACCGGTATGCAGCACTAACAATGCCGATATTACGGTTACGCAGTCAGATGTTTTAACTTACCATTTGTTTCCAGATTGATGGAGTGGATACATTTTAATGCAATTATCATGAGCTTGGGCCCATCTGCCTGATACATCCTCGTCGTAACTCTTAAGATTGCCGCCAAAGTTTGGTTCCACTTAAAGATGCATGGTGCAGTCTGAAATCTTACCACCTCTTGCCCATAGCCTCAGTGCTCACCATATAGACCATGTCCCTTCGGAAGCACCTGTATTGGAGGGAGGTGTGTACCGCACGGTGGGCCAGTAGCGGTGAGTTCTTACACTACAGCGATCAGCTAGCCAATGCAACGATCAGCTAGCCAATACAGCGATCTGCTAGCCAATACAGCGATCTGCTAGCCAATACAGCGATCTGCTAGCCAATACAGCGATCAGCTAGCCAATACAGTGACCTGCTAGCCAATACAACGATCAGCCAGCCAATGCAGCCATCAGCTATCCAGTGCATTTTCTTGGAAAAGCATGGCTTCTCTGCTGAATACTATTCAATATCCGTGGCAATGGGAGAACGAACATCGTAGCTCATGGCAAATTGGCAATGCTTCTTCCCCCGGGCTGTCGGTGGAGAACAGCGTTTTTGCCGTTTTGTCATCCCCCTGCTTCCAAGGTGATGCGTATTGCATAACAAGCAGGTTCCAGCAGCACAGCCCATCAACGGTGTACTATTGCCTGAGGCCTGTTTATCCCAACGCTGTGCTTCCCTTAAAAACGATCAAACCATGTTTTAACTATATGTAGTTGAAACGACCCCCCCCCCCCCCCAAGTGCACCTGCCACGGTAACGTTGTGTTTAACATCGGGACCATTTCCTCTATAGCCCCAGCCTCAGTGTTCATCGTTTATCCCATGCCAGGCAGGGAGCATGTGTGTCGGTGGGAAATGTGTGGTGTATTCAACAGTAAGTTTTACGTACAGTTTGTCTGCAATGGCAAAGGCTTCGTGCTTACTACACCAAGTGTTAAACACAAGAAAAACGTTCAAGTACTGTCTCAGTTCTGGTGTAGTGCATTTATTGCTCCTAAATAATCAATGGCCTGGAGTTGTCCCTATATGCGTTCCTAGAGTCGCGTTAGGCTACAACTTAGCACAAGTGCCTGCTACTGAATGGCACACCTTGGAGCTCTTTGGTGTACAACAATGAAGCGCAGAAAAGGCCACACATGCTTTGCTGCATTCTGCTTCCAGAGATGTGTTTTAACTTACCGTTTGCTTCCAATCTGAAGGAGTGAGTTAATTTTATTGCAATTGTCACCAACTGGGATACAGACGCCTGAACATCCTCGTCGTAACTCTAAAGATTGCTGCAAAAGTTTGGTTCTACTGGAATATATACATGACACAGTCTCAAATCTGACCACCTCTCGTCCATAGCCTCAGTGCTCACCCTATACACCATGTCCCTTCGGAAGCACCTGTATTGGAGGGAGGTGTGTACCGCACGGTGGGCCAGTACCGGGCGGTCCGGTGAGTTCTTACAAGTATAAGCTAGCACAGTTCTAGCTGAGCCTTGCAACGTTCGCTCTGCCTTGTATCTACCGCATGTCCTGCGAAAGCTTCGTCACTCTCCACGTTTCCTACATGCGTTCCTCCTGTTGCGGCACGGTAGGCTGGCCACAACTGGCTACAACTGGTTATAACCGGCTACAACTGGCTACAACTGTCCTCGACGAGCAGTAGATTAGCCTCATCGCTTGGAACTCGACCTCTTTAGCCAACCTTGTACATCTAGAGGGCACTGAAAAGCTTAGCAGCTTAGCTATAAAACTAAGCGGAATTTTGCTTCCAGAGATGTATCAAAGTATTCATGGACTCATTATGTCTGTTGTCTTTTCTTATTCTTCGTTTACTCTAATCTCCAAGCAGATCCTAGGGTTGCATAAGTTGGCCAGGCAGTACCCATTGGACAGAGAGGGTCCAACACGCCACCTCTCAGGCCAATGGATACTGCCTGGCCAATTTGATACTGTCTTATGCCACTCTAGGATCTGCTTGGAGATTAAGTTTACTCTGCAACTGCACGATGATGTTCATACTTTTACTATGATTACTACCAACACAGATGAACTTCCATGAAAATTTGGTTCGATCTCAAAATGTACGAGCTGAGACGATATGTAGTGATCTTGACCGACGGACGAGACTGACATTGACATGTTTGACTCTTCTCTAGACTCAGTGTACGCTAAGTTCTCAGTGCGCCCTTGGTCAGACCTGCATCTTGGGTAAATGTGTGTCGGCGCCCGCGCCTGCACCGGTGCCTTCGTCGGTGAGTTTCTGAAGGAAGCCATCACGGTTCAAAAGCTTCACCCACTGCCTGTATCTTAATGGTAGAATGTAAACAGACCTATAAGCTTCACGCGCAAATAGGCCATGTTCTCACAAATGTGGCTGTGATATTTCACCGCGAAAGTCCATTTTTTAAGCATGGCAAAAGTGTCATTTCTGTCTTCGCGTTTAGCTTTACGCAATTGCTTTGAGGTGGGATTTCGTGCATGTTTGCACCCAGCGGGTTTGCACTTGCTTTTGTAAATACATTGTACAAAGTCCTGCCCGACAACACGATGTTTCCACCATCTTCAACCATGTGACGACAAGACGACGATGCAATGCCTCACTGAAATAGCGAAACGCTATAAGTCTAAGCTTGTACCACGCAGAATGCCTCTCCACCAAGCAAGCTGCACTGCCACTTACGCATGCAATCATACACTTCTAAGGCCCTTTTCCCACAAGGATTGAATTGTCCGGATCGAAGCTAATCGATCCGGCTTCGATCTGGCTTTGATTTGGATCGAAGCTGGATCAAAGCGAATCTATTCGGCTTGATCCGGACAATTGTATCCTAGTGGGAAAAGGGCCTAACTCGAATGCAATTTTATAGTGTAGATTCCAATGATAGCCGTCCTGCACCAGTTCCAGATGCAAGCGGATGATTGATTGATTGATTGATTGATTGATTGATTGATTGATAATGAAATGTTAATGTTTCGGCAGATGTGCCAAAAAGCAGTTACTCAAACAACTGGATATGATTTTGGAAACGGCCAGGCGTTTCAGCTAGCATCCACTAGCTTTCATCAGTGAACCTGCATCTTTTTCTCCTCTGGTCTCTCAGTCACTGACGAAAGCTAGTGGATGCCAGCTGAAACGTCTGACCGTTTCCAAAATCATATCCAGTTGCTTGATGAGTAACTGTTTTTTTTTGGCGTATCTTATTATCTGGATGTCTAACCTTCATCGACGTTTCCGCAGATGTTCTGTTCTTCTGATGCCGGGTGTGGAGCGGGGTACCGCTGTGAGAAACCGGCCGGGCTCTCCTACGGCTACTGCGTCGGCTCAACCGACTACTCGTACTACAAGTCCGGGAAAGCAGAACTCCCAGAGAAGCAGCTAGCTGAAGACAACAAGGAAGAAACAGCTGAGCAGATAAAAATAGATAAGAAAGAAGAATAGTTGCACTGTTCATGTATGTAGTTTAGAGTTTCATGTCTATTCGAAGTAGTTAATTAGTATTTCATAAATGCACTCAGCATAATCATATGTAATTGCGTATCAGTGATTAAACATTGATATCATTGCTGAATACGTGTAGTTGATTTTCATTGCTCCTTACTCTTTACTGCTAGTACATTATTAGCTTGTGTCATTGTAATGAGTATGATATAATTAAGCATTGTTGGATTCTAGATTTGCTATCTGTTAGTAGTGGGTATGTATCATTGTAGAAAGCGTAAACTTGTGTGATTCGCAGTGTAGTTTTCTAAGAACACTAGAAAACTTAACATTCGCTTGTTCAAGGTATAAAACCTATGGCAAATATAAAGGAGTAATAATGCCATGATTATCATATCTAGATCTCAATGCTTGATACTGGAGATATTTGGCACCGTTGCAAAATATGCGAATATTTATATTTCCCTGGTAGCTAAAGAAATATACCCTCTGGTGCCTTGTAGCGATATGTGTATTGTCATTTTTTATACCTCATACTAGTATATGGTATCCGACAGATGTGTAATCAAAGTGAGATAAGTCATTGTGATATGTTAGACACTATAAATACTGCATGGGCACCCTTACGTTTTTAAGAACTTTAGGCTCTTCAATTTTGTTATCCTTCCATTTTTCAAAGTGTCTGAACTTAAAAGATTACCAGAGGAGACCTGGAAGTATTATGTTTCATTTGCTGTGAATAAAAGCGTGGTTTTCAACAACTTTGCGCGTGTATCTATATTGTTGTTTGTTTGTTTGTTTGTGTGTGTGTGTGTGTCTGTGTGTGTGTGTGTGTGTGTGTGTGTGTGCGTTTGTGTGTGTGTGTGTGTGTGTGCGTATGTGTGTGTGTGTGTGTGTGTGTGTGCGTGTGTATGTCTGTGTGTGTGCGCGTATGTGTGTGTGTGTGTGTGTGCGTATGTATGTGTGTGTGTGTGCGCGCGTGTGTGTGTGCGTATGTGTGTGTGTGTGTGCGTGTGTGTGTGCGTATGTATGTGTGTGTGCGTATGTATGTGTGTGTGTGTGTGTGCGTTTGTGCGTACAATTGCACATGTAGTACAACCTAATCTTTGTCATTAGTCTGATGTATGTACATAGATGTAAGAACCATCCGTGACCGATGTATCAAATTGCATTACAGACCTAGCAGTACACTCAAATGCATTCAGCAAAGTAGATATGATACTCCCGATTATGTTCACGGAGAGAAATAAACAGCTTTAGTCCGGCATCCATTCTGTGATAGCTCCGGTTCGTTTAGTCTGTAGAACTAGAATAAAATATTCCGACAATATGTGGGTCATCAGGACCTTGAATGTGCTAAGTACCATAACGTTAGCTACCACTAAACTTGGACATTATTGACCAAGCCCTCAAACAAAACGTAAGCTAGGTAGAGAAAAATGTTAACAGGAATGGTCATTTACCGTTTAGCAGAATCCTCTGAAGGAGTAGAAGCTCTCTTGTTTGGTGGGGTTGGGGAAGAAAAAACGGAAAAAAAACAGACTTAAAACATGACTTGCGTGTCAAAGGTCAGATTTGAACTTTACCATTGTAAGTTGGGGAGCTAAGTTGGGGATATGATAATATTTGCCAGGCTAAGTGAAAGAATGGATTAACACTCTTCGTTACATAAACGTAAATCATATGGCATTTATTATTTCATGGAAACAGCCCCCTAATTTCCTAGAGGACTCTAATATTATAGTAGTAACGTTAACTGATATGCACCCCCTTTGGCTAATGGTTCAGCTCAAGTGTGACCTATGACATGACAGAACTTCACCGAAGAAATGACAACGTAAAGTTGACAACCAGCTACGTTTCTTCTCTTTTTCACTCACGAAAGTACCAGGTAACATACCCTAACACTTCAGTCTACTTTATTATGATCTAATAACTTCTATACGGTGATTTCTGTGTAAGAAATTTGTAGTCCAAGTACATTTTAGCGCTCTGTTTATGTTAGTGTCTTCTCTAGTCATATCTTGAGAGTTTCCTATGACGTCATAATAATTATCATAGGAATTTTGGCGGGTAAACTGGTTAAGTAGCATGTTGAACAAGTATCATGCAACATAGTTGATATGAAAAGCCTCTATATTAGACACATTGTAGCAAGGACGTCCTAGTTGTCAACCTAATTGTTTGCAACATATGATGAGACAACTTTCAACAAATGCCTGTATGTTTTTTAATAATTTATTTCCCCACAGACATATACATTACAATAAATGAATTAATTCGCTTGGCCAATAACACAACAGTTCCTATATATAATGCTTCACTTTTCAAAGAGCCTAAAATTCTAGTTTTGCTAAACTACATTGTAAATATCCCCATCCAACTCTAAATTTTTCTACAGATGAAAACTAAAAAAAAACGTTGTGACAGTCTTCAAATATTTGCTCAATAGGGTTCCATACTACCAGCTAGTTATATTGCACCAAAATAAATATAATATAATATTTAAAAAATCTCAAGTCTTTTGTTTTCCTTAGCAGGAGTTAGTATTCATGTATCCATCTTTTTTTGAACAGTACCCTTTTCGTTGTCCACAATAGTAGGCACATATTACAATCAGTTGAACTTGAAACTGTTATCGAACATGAAATAAATATTTGGTGATACACACAAGAAATATTTCCATATATGTTCACAAAATGTGAGTGGTTTGTGCCCGTAGCCAGGGGGGGGGGTCGAAGGCTCAAAGGTCCACTTTTTGGTCCACTTTTTATGTAAAGGTCCAAGATTTTTCTTGAAAAGATGGACTTGAATCGTAGAAAAACTGCTCCCTTTGTCATTAGATAAAAATTTATCTCTGATTTTTTTCTTGGAAATCCTCTCAAAAATGCACGAAATGCCATTTTAGAAGGTTTATTTTTCAAAATTTTCCGGGGGACCATGCCCCTGGACCCCCCTAGGAACCTCGCGCCGGCGCACGAGGTCCCCTCAAGCAGTGGGAAGAACCCCCCCATTCAAAATCCTGGCTACGGGCATGTGGTTTACTGCTTTACTCCCGTGACAAGACTGAGTGTACTGTACACTGCACACATGGCCTGAGGAATATGTGGCTTGTGTGATAGTTCTGACAATGATAGCTAAGGCCACACCAATTTAATTTCTTGGTTAACGGATTCGCCCGCCTCATATTTTTTTTGATTTGCAAATAAAATAAAAATTCAGAAATCAACTGAAAAATGCTCATATTTTGCCCTGAATACTTGAAAACAGTTCTTTTCATCCTAGTTGTTACAGTTATTCTATCTTTCAATGCAATGGTATCATTGAAAGTTCAAAATTCATTGTTTAAATTTTGAGCCAGCCTGGTGTGTTGTCTTCATGGCTCCTATCATACCATTTTGGGCCATAATAGGATGCCTAGGCCTGTTTTTATTTTTTTATTTTTTTTCCCGCCCGCTCCATTATTTTTCTAGAAAAATCCATTAACCACGAAATAAAATTGGTGTGGCCTAATGTAATGATATTCTACGTCAACTTTAAATTCCAATGTGGATTGTCAAGATACGGTAATACATTGTTCTGTTAGTCTTTCACAAATATAATACATCTTATTCAGATGTAGCAATAATAAATAAATATACTAAACCTCATATTAATATAGAACATCTCACCTCATGCACAAACTTTTTATGAACATAAAATTAGCATAGAAAATACCATAATCTAACCCAATTTCACAACTCTCAGCTTTTATGCAATAACATAAAATAGAATTAATGCAATATATACAATAAAACACAAGAATGTAGTCAACGCTTCTCATGACAATAAAATTGATAAAACTGTAGTTGAGGTTTGTATTGGAATTATGATTCACATGACAAAGATATATCAGAACCTTGAAATCCACTGATCATATACATAAACAATGGTTTAATATCTTGCATAGTCAATAGACGTATTATTAAGAGCACCAGATATACATTTGACAATAATAGCTACTGTGTTCTGTTCAAAAAGTAATACAAAACACTATTTCTGTTGAACTTGATATTGCAAGCTTCCATCAGAGGACAATATGAAGTGAATTCGAATCATGTTTGTATGAACGCTTTGTTTGTATAGCACGTCGGCAGAACGTACTGCACCTGCGCGAAACCCATATTAAATGTATTGTACATATATAGCATTTTGGCAGAATGTCTCATATAAGGTTGTATTCACTCATATAAGGTTAGCATTTCGACAGTAGTTTCCAAATGTTATGTCGGAAAGCATGTCGGCAGAACGTACTGCACCTGCGCGAAACCCGCAATGTATTGTACATAGCATTTCGGCAGAATGTCTCATATAAGGTTGTATTCGCTCATATAAGGTTAGCATTTTGACAGTAGTCGACAGTAGCCTCTGCAACAGGCAAAATTCCGATGCAACGTTGACCAAAAACCCAACGAAAAACGCGAAAATACGGGGTTCTGCGCAGGTGCAGTATGTTCTGCCGATGTGCTTGTTTGTATCATATTGGATAATAATTAATATGTGTAAACACAATTGATACAGCACCGCAGGATGTTGGAACAGAGGTATGACGTCACTGCTTGCACCAGCCTTTGAAGTAGTCCCCTTCCATGTGACACCTGGCGCTGTACTGTTGGCAGTCCGACTCAGCGTAGCAGTCACGACCCTAAAAAGGTAAAGTCAATATTAAATATAATTGTTTTATTGCAAATTCATGCCCAAGGGCTAATTGCAGGAACAGAAGAAACATATGGTATAAAAAACAGACAATTAGTACACATAGAACTACTGATAACTACTAAGAAACTACTAGTGAAAAAACTACTGGGTTTGACTGCTTTTTTGAAGATAGAGGAAGACAAAGGATCCCACTTTTTCTGTAATTTGTGGGTTTTCTGATGTTAAGAGGAGAGTAGTTTTCTTTTCATTTGTATATGTGTGAAAGTTTTGGGTAGAATTAAAGAAGAAAACAGATTCTCAACTTTTACTTCCTCAATTGTCAGCAGCTATAACTAATGGTAGCTTTATTGTACAAATGCATTTCTTGGATATATGTTTTCCATGACACTGTATATACTTAGTCGTTTGGGTCCAGATGATGCAGATTGTTTGTTATTTTTACCTTCGCAGAAGGAAAACATACTGTTTTTGCTCAGTTTCTTCTTCTTCTCCAAACAAATAAAGTCAATGACCTGAACCAGGTGTCTGTCACCATGGTAACAGGTGGTGTTGGGTTACATTTTGTAGCAGAACAGTAGTGATGAAGAGGCTGGTCACCATATAACGCGTTACATGTATTACATGAATGGGTATGTATAAGAATAAACAGTGCAGTAGTTTGGTGGACTTGACCATGTGAAGGTATAAAACATTATGCATTTGCTTTGCAAATGTTACTTTTCTAGGATTTTTCTCTCTAAAACAAATTATATCTGTATAATGGACACCCCTATGCTTTTTGTGGAGTGGTACCGTCTTGTCAACAGTTAATGTTGTTGTCCAGGCTATACCACACTACTTTCAGGTAAAAAAGAAAACAGAAATAAAATATGATATGATATACTATAACTTACGATGCAGTAGCCCCTGCGTCCTTGGTCACAAATGTCGAAGGAGCAATACTCGTACGCTGGGCAGTCGTCGTAGACATTACACTCCTTAAACGTGCCGTATCCGGTCCCTCTCAGGTCAGAGAGGGATATCGCACAGCCAGACTGTGAGAATAAGATACACAGATACACATGAGTAACAATAAGGCCAAAACAATTTCATTTCTTGGTTAACGAATTTTTCTAGAAAAATAATGGAGCGGGCGGGCAAAAAAAAAGAAGAAATAAAAACAGGCCTAGGCATCCATTCCTATTATGGCCCAAAATGGTACGATAGGAGCCATGAAGTCAACACACCAGGCTGGTTCAAAATTTAAACAATGAATTTTGAACTTTTAATGATACCATTGCATTGAAAGATGGAATAACTGTAACAACTAGGATGAAAAGGACTGTTTTTAACTGTTCAGGGCAAAATATGAGCATTTTGCAGTTGATTCAGAATTTTTATTTTTATTTGCAAATCAGAAAAAAATGAAGCGGGCGAATCCGTTAACCAAGGAATAAAATTGGTGTGGCCTACTCTTCATTCCATATTCCTGCCTAGATGGGCTAATAAATGCACATGTCACCATATGTGGTCTACATGTACATGTTATAAAACATGGGAACACTGAAATTCTAAATTCAAATGCTAATACTAACTGTCCATATATCAAAATTATATGTTATTGTTCATCTAATAATAAAAAACACTTACTACTTGAAGCATGTAGAATTGCATTTGAAGAAAATATACAATTATCGTGTAACAAACACTCTGACAACATGTTTGCGAGTTACATAAACACTGTACTATCTGTGATGTCCATGAAGATGTTACAATGAATGTGGTACATGTACTGCATATTACATTCCATGAACATGGTACTTGAACATGGAACATATTGCTTCTGACAACATGTTTGTACAAGGCTAAAAGCCATATAGTAGAGCAACCCATCCTAGAATGAAATTCTAGGAATTCTAAATGAAAGAATATATACAACTTGTACTGTCTTAAATGTACCTGTGGCACTGGTTGAGGTTGTGGCTGGGGTTGAGGTTGTGGCTGGGGTTGAGGTTGTGGTTGGGGTTGGGGTTGTGGTACAGGTTGAGGTTGCGGTTGAGGTTGGTAAGGGTTGTCCTCACACACTCCAAACTGGCCGTACAGAAGGTTGCAACGCCCGCCATTGCAGTCCCTGTCTTGGTAGCAAATCTGTAGAACAGACCACCCAAATAAAAGGGACAAACCTTTAATAACAGCACATTGTGGAGCATCTATTCTCTTTCATTTAACAAGCTGCAACAGGACCAACTGGCTTGATTACAAAATGCCAGTAGCATTAACTAAACATCTAGAAAATCAAACCCATACAAAAGAGATATACAAAACAGATACACATACTTGTAAAAGAAGTGATTACGAAACCACTATCTACAATTAGTTCAAGGTAGAGGTGCATTAAAGTAAAAGAAAAGAGGAAGGCAGGAGAAAAAATGGTAACATCCAAAAGCTTTGCGGAAACCCTAACTCTAGTACACAACGGTCGGGGTGCACGTGGAGGTAGCCAATCAGACACTCTACCATACAGTGCCCCCACTACCCTGACTTGGGCTAAGAAACCAAGGTGCAAGAGGTACATTTTAAATTGTAAATCTGTAAGGTTATAGCACAGTTATATAGCTATCATACTGAACTGACCACATCTGTAGGGAACGGCCCTCTCCTGCAGACACCGTACGTTCCCGGTCCGATGAAGTCACAGAAGTTTCCAGGGTCACAGTGGGAGTTCAGGTAGCAGTACTTTGGCTGGAAGGAAGTTCAAGATATATATGTTACAAAATCGTATTTCAACTTTGTTTCTAACACAAGAATGTCAACAAGTTACAAAGTGATCATGACACTTTCTAGTAGCATGAATAACATGATGAAGCAAATATGCGTTGTGAATTAATGTGGAGTTGAATGATTGTATGTTTTTATGGCTTGTTATTTTTTTCAAGACTATTTTTGCCCATGTTGACACTTACAAGAAGCTGAGAGAACTTTCCTAGCTTTCTTCAAAATTTTCTTAAAATGTATCTTACCAGTCCACAGGTTCCATATGCCTGGCCAGGCATGATGTCACAGACACCTATGTCGAAACAGTCCTCATCACGATTGCAGTAGAAAACCTATAAAAAAACAACACAAATCAGTATGTCAATTACCTCTCATCCATAAAACTCATAGGCTCCAAGAAAATAGTGAAAAATTGACAGTGGACCTTTATAAATTTTCTCTATATACTAAATGTGAAGTTCGAGGTGTTTGGCAGAAAATTCATAACAAGTGTTTCCGTTAGGCCACACCAATTTAATTTGTTGCTTCTCGGATCGCCCTGTCCATTTTTTTCTGATTTGCAAAAAAAAATTTCGGTTCTAAATCAACTGCAAAATGCTAATGATTGAATGAAAGACATATTTTGGCCCCAACGGTTGAAGACAGTCCTTTTCTTTCTAGTTCTAAAAGTTTTTCAATGTAACAATGCAATTTTGTTCATTAAAAGTTCAAAATCTATTGTTTTAATTATAAACCAGCCTGGTACAAATGTATGTTGACTTCATGGCTCATATCATAACATTTTCGGCTATCATGGGGTACCTTGGCCTGTTTTTTTTTTAATTTTTATTTCGCCCTGTTGCTCCATATTTTTTCTGAAAAAATCTGAGAAACAACAAATTAAATTGGTGTGGCCTTATGTTGGAATCTTAAATTCTAAGAATAGTTCATGTATTTGTTATTTAGCAGTAGATGATGCCATACATAGTACATTGCACGATTAACCTAAGTGCAATAAAGTGTATTATTAATATTATTACCGGTCCTGCACGTGTACCCCTCTTGCAGATCCCTGCCACTCCGTAGCCATTGACGATAGCTTCACAGAAGTGATCAGCACCGCAGTCATGGTCTTCTGTACAAAACTTAATCTACAAAACAATAGAGAATATTATTTTTAGAGGATAGCGCGGTTAAGACAGCAAGGATCCACTGCACTTGAACTTAATGAGTCTACTTCTTTAAAAAATCACTAATGATGATCGATAATTATGATAACAGGATTGTGACATAACTCATGACTTTACATGGCATGAGTTTACACGTGCCCCATTTGGGCACTCAATGTCAGTGATATCAACAATGAAGTTTAGTGCATTTATATGCCCATTGGGGCCCATTTATATGCCCCATAAGTAATAGGGATCTATGCCACATGATTGTTCTGTACATCTGTATCTATATTTTATATGTTTCTTCTCTCTTCTTGAGACATTTGTAGACGATGAGTTTTTCTATGACATCGTGGTTAAATGAAGACATATGTCATCCTTTGTTAGATGTTCATATTTTTTGTGTAAGATATGTATTTAGCTTATTAAATGTCAGTTTTGTGGGAAAATGGTTTTTACCCCTCCGGGTCCTGTTGGTCTCTGCCCAGGTCTGCAGGTGCCGACCGCGAAAGGGTTTGTGGGCTCGCTGACGTCACAGTAGTTCCCGCGCCCGCAGTCTCTGTCGTTCATACAGCTCTGACGGCGGGACTGAGAAATATTTCTAGTTTTAGTTCACTGCATTTTAATTTCTAAATACTTTTTTTTCCATTTTTGCTCAGATATTCTTCTATCTAGAGGAAGACCGAGGAAGACCTGGCTGACATGTGTACTGGAGGATGCCAGGACGACCATGCACCAACCCAGTCTGACTCTAGAGGACCTGAAGACGATTGCCCATGACCGCCAAGTATGGCGCAGGACTCTGTGCAGACGGAGGGATGACTTTGACGCAGGCCACTCACAGAGATGTCAGAGACCTACTCAAGTACAAGTATATAAAACTTGTTGCAAGTTATATTTGTCAATAATGTGTACCTTCTTTGACCAGAAATGAAGATTTCGTAGGGTTTGCAGTTGTACAGCTAGGTTATATAGTAAGTTATTTTCAACGTAAACTAGGTAACTATTTCTTATCTAAGTCCTTAATAATATCCAATATGGTAAGGCCCCAACCATTGTAGATGGCATTATATATTATGCAAGAAAACATATTGCATATTGCTGCTAGCGTTTTACCTTACCGATTCGCATATCACCAATAGCCTCCATAGCAGGCTTTTTGGTAAGGCCAAACCATTGTAAATTCCATTATGTGAGGTCATTTTCATATCGACGCCAGCATTTTACCTTACCTATACTACTACAGTATCACCCAAGAAGCCTGGTTGACCCAAGAAGCCTGCTATTCCCGACAGAAATGATTGCGGTCCTTACCGGATCTGGCTGCGGTGGCTGAGGCCGGATGTTGCCAGGTTGACACTCCCCGTAACCCAGTTCAGAGTGGAAGTTACAGGTGTACCCGCTGCCACAGTCTCTCTGCTCTAGACAGTACTTTGCCTGGGGGACATACGGAGGAGATGATAGGTCTATTTAGTTGCAGTTTTCGACCACCAGGTAAGAATACTAATGATGATACTTTACAATGACAGTGATCTTTACTTGCACATTCTTGCCCACGTGGGCCAAATGCAGTACGTAGTTTCACATGAGACAGTCATAGCAACAGTACAACTAATTCTATGCTACAAACTAACGGAGATGTTATGGAGCTGAAGGAAGCAGCTCAGACACGTAAGTCTACAAACTCTAAGCAATTCTTCCAATGATTATAAAGGTATACATGTTGTGTCAGCAAGCTTAGAGTGTCAGTCAGTCATTGTGAAAGTGCAACCTGTTCACCCTCTCTTAGTCCCCACCAGGTTTCACATGTTACGTACCGGTTGAGGTTGTGGTTGCGGTTGGGGTTGTGGCTGTGGCTGAGGTTGGGGTCGCGGTCGAGGCTGTACAATGCCCCCTGGCGGTGCCTGGATGCATTGCCCGTACCCTACCGCCGGGCGCTGCTCGCACATCGCCCCCCGCGGACAGTCTGCATCAGTTCTGCAGGACTGGGCAAGGCAAGTAGAGAAATACGTTAGATTATTATGTTTACCTTCGCAGAAGGAAAACATTGTTTTTACTTTGTTTCTTCTCCAAACACATAAGGTCAATGACCTGGACCAGATTGCTGTCACCATGGTAACTGGGGCAATGACATAGGTGTTGTAGTGTGGTGTTGGGTTACATTATGTTACAAATTGCGGGACAGACTTGGAGAGGCTGGTCATAATACATATGAATTTCTTTGAGTAGAAAATACAAAGCTGTACAGTAGTTTCTTAGGTTAGACCATTAGAAGATAGACATTGTTCTTTGCAAACATTATGTTTCCAGTACAATAACCATTTGATACATTGTATCAAACACATGCAAAGCCAAATGTTATCAAGCAAAATAAAGTTACATAGAGAACATGCATGTTACAGTACATACCTCGGGCGTAGGGTTCCTGTCTATTCCGGGAACGTCTCCGTAAATATTCGTTTTGCATTTCCCGGCTCCAGTGGCAGGATCCACCACACAGTACTCCCCACTCCGGCAGGACGCGTCGCTCACACAACCCTGCAGAGAGAAGCAGAAAACAGCATGTTATGTGGAGAACCTGGAGGACTAAAAGCTTACAAAGGTAAATAGGTGATACAAGCCCGTGCATGAACATGC